GGTCACACGGTGCCGCACAATGGGCAAAGTCAACCCTTTGAATCCAGCACGCTGCAATTCAGAAGGCTTTTAGCGACAGCCTAATGGAGAGCACGCTACATATGGGGACTACCAAGCCCCGAAGCATTTCGCCTGCTGCACACAGCAGAGACCCACAGGGCCCCATATTTATCGGGGTCTGAGGGAGCAGGATGCTGATTCCTGGAGAAACGTTAACGAGAACCAAGAATGTGCAGCACCTTGCAAGACCGGGCGTATGGGAAGAAACTATCCCCTGCTCTCTCCACAAATGACCCCTTGCTGAAAAGCAATGAAATTACACAGATGACTTAGAAACTCGCGAGGTGTTCACAACTGATTTGAGGATTAAGACGAGCAATCAGCGTGTTTACTTACGATCTCATTTAAAGCTCACTACAAAGTAAATAAAGACACACCGGTCCTTAACCAGCACAGTGCTTCGGGGTGTGCCTAATTACAAGCACACCAATAGCCCCGTCGCCAATTTGGAGTCATCTGCTGTAACTCCGTAACATCCTTCACATGCAAATTACCTGCCAGGCTTATTGCAGCCCGGCACAGTTTGCTTTGCAGACACACATTAGGTAACAGCGGTACCCAAAGCACCGCCACTCGCGTCGGAAAATCACTTGGAGCTGTTCTGCACGGGCCTTAAAAGCGAGAGCTTTGTGCCAGCGCCGCAGCAGAGGTAACTCTGGGAGTCGTAGTGCTGTAGTCAAGGAGACCTTGCTCACTGAGAGCCGCCCTCCTGCCTTCCCAGCTCTGCTGCTCGCACGCTTGGAGCCCGGGCTGAGGAACCAGGGCTGCCAGGCAGTGTTTTTTGGACACCCATGAGAACAGAGGTGAAATAAATACCGAGTCCAATCGTGCTTGCAGAATAACCCCCAGCAAGGAAGGCACTGTCCACGGGAGCTGCAGGCTCCAGTACCTGTCAAAGCCTCGTTTCTCACATGCTGCCACAGAAACTAATGAAAATTGCAACCATGGGCAGAAATGGGATGAGTTTGGGTACTGGGAGTGCTGGAAGTCAGCAGCCTACAGCATAAAGGGAAGAGGAACAATGACATACAGTAAGACCAGTGAGTTTCTCCTCCTTAAAAAGGAAAAAAAAGGCAACAGAGCAGTAACAAAGAACTGTTATTTGATTCTCAAAGTCAACAGCACTCCTATGAACACAGGCCCTTTCAAGGCACAGCGGGGACAGCACTCTCGTACCCCACAGCCTGTGTCCGTGGAGTTTAACACCAACACAAAGAACAAGGATGCAGCCCAAAAGGGCACTAAACAACCAGGATGCGACCCACAAGAGCAGCAGTTCACCCTCATTCAGTCTGTAAGAGGTGAGTCCAGCCCCCAGAACTCTGCAATCTCAGCAGGCCATGACACCAACTCCACCCCGAGAGAACGGCCCCGAATCACTCCCACCGCTACCTGCATCCAATTCACCCTTCCTCGGTCCTACACCAGGAGTCGGGGATGCTCTGAGCTGAGGCAAACCCAGCTGCTGCCTTCACACCGGGCAGCACCTGCACCGTGGGGCTGGGCACTGCTCTGACAGCGGGACGTGGCTGCGGTGCTGGCCAGCTCCCTGTCCCTTACTGCTCCCCATCCCTTATCACTCCCCATCCCGTATCACTCCCCACCCAGGGCCAGGCTGTTCCCGAGACCCAGCCCGACTTCCCCACGAGAGACCCTCTGCAACACCGCTCAGTAAAAAATTAACTAGGGGGTGGTGATCCGATGGTTCCAGGCGTGCGGATAAATACAAGGTGAAAAGGCCCTGGACGCCTTCTAAGAGCAGTATTTTGTATGCCGGATCGATAGATTTCTCTCGGCTGGAAGCAAATGAGTTCTCAAACAAAGTTAAATTTAGAAGAGAAAGTGTTCATTTTTCTCACTAAGGAAAGCAGCGATGGCAATTCCTCAAAGGGCATTTATAGGACTGGCACTCCAAGCCTGGGGCCTCACCACCCCTGCCTAAAATCAGCGGTGTAAGCATGGGTTAGGGTTACTGCTGCTCACTTAACATGAACCCAAGTGGCTCTGAAATCAGGCGGTGTTCTCCCACATCGCCGAGCCTTCCCTGGCCAGGCTGGCACACGGAAGCGATGCAGCCCTGAAATAAAGCACCAGCTTTGATCCTGCCTCGTTTGCGCCCTCAATTAGCTTCGCTGCCTCCTGTGTAAGGAACCACCTGAGTGAGGGTTTCCGGACAGCAGCCCCAGCGCCCGGGTCCCAGCACAAACAGCTCGCATCGGTCCTGGAGGCAGAGAGGCAGCTGCAGAGCGCGTTGCTTTGTGGCATTGTTTGATACTGCCCCCTTTTGCCAAACAGCAAGGCAACAGCCTCGGCTGCACAGAAACTTTTCAGGCAGTGTGGTTGTTTCCAGCCAAACACACTCCTGCAGATGGTCGCGTTTAACCCTAGCGCGACTGCTCAGGCGATCGCCAAGCCTGGCTGCGGGAGCTCCGCGTTGCTCCAGCCCCGCTGAGCATCCATCGCACAGCCACTGCTCTCCGGGGACGTGTCCCCTGCCAAGGGCTGAGCGTGTCCCAGCCTGAGTCCTGCAGGACTTTTCCGACCGACTCCAGGGTGAGTTACAGAGAAGCACAGACCGTAAAGCCCAGGTGTACGTTCCCCTAAACCAGCTTTCTGTTTGGGGAATAAACAGAGATCCTAACACGCTACCAAAGCCATTTTGCTTGGGCACTTGCTTCGTCTTGCTGCACACAACCCGAAGCCCACGGCACCACCTGCATGGGGTCCCTCTCGGGCTGTGCAGGCTCCTCGTGGACCCGTCCCCACGCCACCTCCTGCAGCCTGTGGGATCCGAGGGGGCCACCCCGACACAGCTCCTTCCCCACGCAGCCCCTCACCCCCTGCATCCTCCTGCTCCAGCCCTTTGTCTCCCGGGGCTGTTCTTTTTCACCGGCTGGAGTTTGCTCCTTTTTCTCCTCGCCGGCTGCCCCAGCTCGGTGCGGGGAGGGAGGGAGGTCAGGGAGGGCAGCCACTGCCAACGCCAGCGGTCCCACGGGCTGGGGGCCGAACAAAGCCAACATCTATGTGCTGAGCCCCCCTGACTCCAGGATTAACATGTCGCTGGCGGGGTGGACAAAAACTTAATCTCTTCGAGGAAAGGAGGCAAGATACAGGGAGAGGGGAAAAGAAAAAATAAAGGGAGAGAAATTGCCTCCACGGCACTGAAAACACAAAGATCCCCTACTGCAGCCTGCCTCGTGCACAGCCAGCTTAGCCCAGTCTGAACAGAAAAAGTTTGAGCCCGAAAGGGAGAGAAAAATGAAGGAAAAAGATATGGACGGTTCGAGTGGCTGTTTGAAAAGAAAACCTCTGTTAAAAAATCCCGAGTAATCTGCTTAAACACCAGCAGGTTTTTGCTTTTCCCCATTGCCTTCTTCTCTGCAGTTTATGACCAGTTTTCTCCCTTGGGTGCTTACAACTCACACATATAATCAAGAGCACTTTGCTGTGTGAGTAGCTTGTTCCAGCTCCTCGCACTCCTCCTCCTTGCCTTCGCTCACCCCGGATCTCCACTGATCTCCAGCAGCAGTGGGAATCAAAGCCCATTATAACTTTTAGCCTAGTTGGGCTCTATTTTATTCGCAGTGCAGGCAGCTTGGGGTCTTAGCCTACCGCCGAACCCATCCGGAGGCAAAGCGAGCTAACCTCTTGCCGCTCAGACTATAATTTAGGAGCAGTATTTTCTGTAATGAGAGGGCACATTTGCACAACAAAAAATGAAACTTTACTATGATCCCAAACCGATATACCCAGACATAAATAGTTCAAGAAGAAGGAAAAGAAGGAAGAGAAGAAGAAAAAAAAAAAAAAAAAAAAAAAAAAAAACAGGACTTGGCATCTACCATGTTTGGAGACCTTGTTTTAGGACAGGAAATTATCTAAAAGAGTCTAACCTGAGCCAGTTGAGGACAGAGAGCCTTCAGGACACAGATACTCCCCTGCACTCCGCCTAACGCCCGTGAGCAGCCAGGTTGAGCACCGACTTGGCAAGCACACCTTTTGTTTGTTTCCTCCGAGGCGTAGCAGCAAGCACGCTCCTGGGCAGCACCGCGGAGCAGATGGCAGTGTTGGAAAATACACATCTCCAACTTTTGGTGTGGGTGTCGGAGCTGGATCCGCAAGGGTTGTTCCTGGGAATCCCCCTTCTCCCCCCCCCCCCCCGCCCCACAAGTTTCTAACAATACGCGGAGCGAAGGAGCTGCACAAGGCTCTCTGCTTCCCTCTCCCTCTCCCCTTCGCTTTTGATCTCCATCAGGACGTGAGCTGAAATTTAATGGGCCACCCCTACCACAAAGACAAATTACCATCTGAAAAAAAAAATAATAATTTAATATCCCTCCATCCAAGCCATCCGGCTCCCCACCACCGCACCCCTTCCCTCCCTCGCAGCCCCGCTCAGCGGGTTTCGGGAGAGCCGGGAAGGTGCTGGAGAGGGGGACAGAAAGAGGAACGAAGCCACCTCCGGGGCCACCTCCTAGCTCCGGGACTGCCAGACCAGCCCAGCCCAGCGTGGGGCCAGGAGCGCACCCTTACACCCCGCAGGGGGTCCCTGGACCCCGTAGGGTGTCTCAATGCCCTGCAGGGTGTGCATTCACCCGTGGGGTGTCCCCATACCCTGGAGGGTGTCCCCACGCTCTGCAGAGTGTCCCTAAACCCCGTAGGGTGTCCCCACGCTCTGCAGTGTCCCCACACCCTGCGGAGTATCCCCGTGCCCCACAGAGTGTCCCCATGCCCCGCAGAGTGTCCCTACACCCCGCTGGGTGTCCCCGCGCCCCGCAGGGTGTCCTTACACCCCGCAGCGTCCCCCAAGCCCCGTAGGGTGTCCCCACACCTCGTAGGGTGCCCCGACGCCCCGCAGGGTGCCCCCCGGCCCCTCTCCCCCTCCGCAGCACGAAGTTTGCTCTCCCACCTCCCTCCCCCGGCCCCGGCGCGGTGCTTACGGGGTGTCGGCGGGGCTCCGGCTGCGGGGCTCAGCGGCACATCGCGCTCCGGCTGCCGCTGGAGGCCGGCGGGGAGCGGCTGCTGGCCCCACGGCTGGCCCCACGGCTCGCCCCACGGCTCAGCCCCACGGCCCCGGGCTCAGGGAGCTCCGGCCCGGGCCATGCGAGGCGAGGAGGAGGCGGCGGCGATGCGGGGAGCCGCGAAGTCGGGCCCCGGGTCCTGCCCCGCGCTCCGCCGGCTCTTCCCGGCGGCTGCGAGCAGCGCGGCTCCAACTCTTGCCATCGGAGAGCGGGGGGAGGAGGAGGAGGAGGAGGAGGAGGCGGAGGAGGAGGAGGAGGAGGTAGGGGAGGAGGAGGAGGGAGCTAGGGGCTGGCGGCTCCGGCTCTCCCCGGTGGCAGCCGAGGGGCTCCCAGCGCAGGGGGCGCGGAGCGAGGGGGAAGGAGAGGGGAAGGGGCGAGGGCAGGCACGGGGAGGGCTGCAGCGGGAGAAGGGCGGACGGTGGGAGGGGGCCCCAAATTTTTTTTTTGGGGGGGGGTCAAAGTTTGGGCTCCGGTCCCCCGTGCCTCTGGAGGCCGGGGGGAATTGCCGGCGGAGGGCCTGGGCTCTTTATTTCGCTGCCGGAGCCTCCGACAGGGCGGCCTGCGCGATGGCGCTGCGTGGGGGTGCGTGCATAATGAGCCGGGGGTTATTTCATTTTATTTCATCTTACTTTTTTATTATTGTTTTTTCTTCCCCACGCGGAGCCGGCCACTGATGCTCTGTAAAACCAGCGGCACCGTGCCGGGGGTCCGGCTGGGGTGGCAGGGGGCTCCCCCAGGTCAAAGTCACGGCACAGAGGCGCTCGTTACCCAAGACGTGATTATTTGCCCCGTCTTAATTTCTCAGTTCTGTAGTCGGGTAACTAGCACTGCTTCCCCTCATGCTGGAGCACGTTTTTGGATACAGTTTGCCCGAAATGGTCAAGTCGTAATTTATGTTTTCTCTCCGATTTCCACGTTAAAACACGCACCGCAAAGTTGAGGGCAGGGAGCGGGTGCAGGCTGAACGCAGCGTGGCTCTGGGTGCTGCCCAGACCTCGGGTACAAGGATGTGCCTCGACCCGGGCAGAGCCTGAAGGGTGCTGAGCAAGCAGCCCCGGGCACGGCAGCACCTCCTCTGCCCTCTGTTTTCACCCCCTTCTCTTCTAAAGCCCTACAGAAAAACCCGCACTGATTTGTTGGTACAGCATCTTCTCGGGGTATTCATATTAATTTCGACGTGAATAGTAAATAACTGTTGAGCTCATCCGTTTCCCTAATAAGCAGGATGATATCTTTCAATTTAGTAAATTAAATAATGACGTACAGTGTTGGGAGCAGGACGCAGAGCAGGTTGGTACTGCTGTGGCAGGGCCGTGCTGGATTTTCCCTTTTCTTTTTTTTTCCTCCCCAGTCCTGCTGCAGAGCGGGTGCTTTGCTCACCCAGGCCTCGGGGGCAGGACCCCAAAAAGACCCCCAAAGCTCTGCCTTTCTTCCTCCTGAGACCTGCAAATTAGGCACTGAGCAGCGAGCAGTGAGTAGCATGAAACGAGGTAAAGGAAGGGGGTGCCCACCCTCTGTCAGCATTTAAAGATCTCCGGAGAGCGCTTTCCTATTAAAGATTGTTTGCCCAAAAATCCCCCATCGTTTCCCTGCTCCTGTTTTGCTGTTTTGCCCTGCAGAGCTGGCAGTCCTGCTGGCCATGTGCATTGCTCAGAGACCCCCGAGTGAAGGTACCAGCAAAGTCCTGGGCTGTTTTTTGGCCTCTGGTGCCTGGATGCTGTAATTGGGACGCACGGCAGGACCTCTCCAAACCTCTGCCCCACCCGGGAAACCACTGACTCCTTTCAGTAGCAGCCATCAGATGCAAAATAGTACAATCCTGCTTCTTCAAAAAAAAGAAGTGCTAAGTTAAAATCGGGGCGCTGTGCTCCCAGTGAGCTGTACCCACCAACTTTTCCCACCTCCAAACCCTAAAGCTGGGCAGGGCGGGCCGGGCCGGGCCGGCTCTCACCGCTAGGTGCTGCTGGTGCCTCCCGATGCGCCTGCAGCCGCGGCTGCCGCCCGGCCCGGAGCCCCCTGCTCAAGGCTAGCGGGGAAAAAAAGGGGGCTCCGGGGCAGTGGGGGGCACCTCGTTGCCTGCAGGGTGCTGGGAGGGCTGGGTGAAATGGGGCACAGCCCCCAGGCGCAGCTGGGCCAGGGTATGGGGCTGTGGGGTGGGTAGCAGAAGCTCGCTGCTGAGCCCGGGTGTAAAATAGGGATTTGGGGGGGCTGAGGACAGCGGAGCTGGGCTTGTGGTGGGTCAGGTCACCCCGAGACAGCCCCCGAATTGCAGCCGGTGTTGCATTTGCCTGCCGAAGCAGGGCAGGCTGCGTTGATCTGCAGGAAATCAATTTGGCGTGGCTGGGCGGGCTGCACGGCGCTGCTCGACTCCGCTCAACTGGGCACCCAGATAGACCTCGCTGGGTTTAGGGCAGATGGGGAGGAAAATCTCCAGTCTGGCCTCATCATCCAGAGACTGGGCGGCAGCACTTGTCCCCGCTTGATCCCTAGACCGCGGCTCCGCAGCGGCAGTGGTGTTAGAAAAGCGATTTTGCTGTAGGTGGCCAGAGCATTTCACACGGCGTGAGGGAAGGGGCGCACATCAGTGACAAGACTTTAAAACGATGCTCAAATGCAGAGCACACACTCCCGGGTGGTCACTTCAGCACCTGCCTACGGGTTTTTACCTCCCTGGTGCACTGCAAGGGGGGAAGAAGGGCTGCCACGAAGGAAACGCTCGCACCAGAGGCAGCGAAATGTTCTCTGCAACTTTGTGCTGATGCAGGCGGCTGCTCGCAGCTCCTAGACGGCGCGGTGTGTTCTCAAAAGGGAAAAAACGCCCTTCGAAGTACAATATCAGCAAATGCTCAAACGAAATGGCATGCAGCACTGGTGATAGTAAGCATTATCCTGAATATTTAGATCTAGATCTGAAGCCAAGTGGCCATTAGCCATTAAATATTTAGGTACAGGGCTTTTCTTTTTCTTGAATTTAAAATAGGTTGCTAAATAGTCACAGTTGTGGTTTCCAGGCTTTGGCTGGTGGCGACAGTAACGTTTTAATTTATACTAAAGAAAAGGCAAAGTTAAATCCATGACACAAAGTGAGAGTCAGATGACCTGAAAGCAGGAGAATACAAATGAGCTCCCTGGAGAGAAAGGGCTGTGATGGAACAAATAGAATAATACAGAGGGATGACTTGACACTATCACCGCAGCGACTGTATTTCACTTCTTTGGAAAGAAATGAAATGAGCTTAAATTGGGACAACTGCTTTATTTCAGAGAACTCTATCTGAAGCCCCTGCTGCCTACAAATAAGTGATACACAATTGTTTTCCGCCCTGAAGACAGGTACTGTTAATTGCCAATTTTCATATGTCGCGTGACACGGCGAAGTCAGCAAATGTCCTCGCAGTCAGCAGAGGCAGGCCTGAGTATTCCCACCAAGGCTCACAAGGGGAGGGAGGTCCCTGTTTGCAGAAAAAGACTCATCAGACGTCCAGGCTGAGTTAACTACATGGTACAGCAGAAGGAGGGAATGTTACCCCGAGACACTTGTCACTGCCTGCTGAGCATCCACATGTGTACGGCGCCTAGCAGTCATCTATTTTTGGCAAGTAAAAGGAACAGTGAAAAATTAGTCTTGAACAACACCATTAAGAGGTTTGATGCCACATCAGAAACTGCTTTTTTCCCTCCTCTAACTCAAGCTCTGAGGCCACAGGCTGTGTTTATTAGAAATTACTTCTGCCTTGAGACTGGAAGTTGGAAACCTACCACTGAAGACCCTATTGTGTTCTAAGATATTTATTACCCGAAGGACTGAAAACTTCCTCAGTAAACACATGCGGGATTATTTTTTCTTGGGGGACATCGGGACCTTTACAATTAGACTTAAGCTTTAATTTAAAGAGATGTTTTCTGGCACATAAGACATCTCACTGAACACTCTGTACAAGGTCTGTATTTGAATAGAAAGTGAATTCAGGACCGTTCCCAGCTTATCCACTGCCTTCATACCCAACATCAGGTAATTCAGCTTAAACAGGAGCTCAACACTTGCAATTTGCCTTTACAGCCTTTGCAGTGTCTTGCCCTATTCTGTTTTAAAGGTTTACAGGGTCTGCTTATACAACAAACTGCTGTACCCAACGTGTGATGTGCTCTATTGACAAATCTGGATCTAAATATGAGCAGGTTTTGAAGGTTTTTTCCTTCCTCCACCTGTTTATGTGATGAGCAGTGTCTTGATAATGAAACTCTCGGTGTCGAGTTTGGAAAATGCAGTTCTCGGTGTGCTGGCAACGTGAGCGTACTGGAGAAACTGCATATCCATTCAGCAGATTTTAATTCCCCCGTAGTATTCTGAACTCCTGACCTAGAAAGCCACTCCGAGGACTTGAGAAGTTCAGAGCGCTCAGTTAATGCAGTGTCCTTCCATACCTGCATGCTTTAATGAACTTAACTAAAATCCATACTGTACGTACGCCGTCTGTGATATTCAGTTGCTTGTAATCAAAACCAATTGACTTTCAAATCTCACCCACTTTGGCTGCAGGGCTGCTTAAACTGAAAGGTCAGGAGCAAAAAATCGTATTTTTTAAAAAATATGAAACATTTTTCTAGTCTTCTTATTCGGCGTATGAACTGTTTTTAAAAGTGTAATTTTATCTTTAGGCAGAGGCCAATTAGTTTAAAGTTCAAGCCTCCATTTTGTAGCTTTTCAGACAGATATTTAAAATAAGGACCTAGAATAGAAACTGTATTCTATCTTCACCTATAATGGTTGTGACAAAGCCTTTCCTCTCTTAAGAAATGGGCCCAGTGGGACTGACGCAGGCAGATACATAGGCTTTGGGAGAGTGTGGTTTCCAACTTCACAGCTTCAGACATTTCTCAACAAGAAATGTAACCCTAAACCCAACAGCTCTGCCAGCTGCTCTAGCAGAACAGTTCATCTCTGCATGTTGTAGTCCTGGTCCCTCTTGAATTGAGAGGCCTTTTCTGGCTTCTGACCCTTTCTGGCGTGGCAATGAAGGCCAGACAGTAGGGAAACATCCTTGTGAAGTACGAAGGGACAGAGGTCTCCCCCAGAGAGCCCTCTCTGCCCACTTCATTGAAGCACAGTGGCCTCTTCTCTCCCCCACAAGGAGCCAGGTGGTGGAAGCAGTCCTGTGGTGAATGGGAATCCTGGCCCTGCGCTAAGCTGTCCTAAAAGGAGCTAGGAATACGTGGCATATGCATATTCCCTGTTAGCTTGG